TTTTTCCTGTCTATAAAACAGGATATGTTTTTTGTCTCTGAGTAAAACTGGAGCTGGGCAAGATAACATTAAAATGTTGTTTGCAAATGAGGCTGTTAACAGATCGAAAGGATTGCAATTTGAATATAAGTACAACACAAGGATTCCCTACATTAAAGGAGACCTTTTATGACAAATCAACTTGATGATTTTAACCATGGTACAACATTGTCCCCTCGTCAAATATACACCTATAGCCCCATCCAGGCTCATATAAGGACATTCTATTATACAAATCTCTAGATAGAAAACTTCTAGAATACAAAGTCTAAATACTCCTGTCCCAAAGCTGGTGCTCTATCTATGATGGATCCTTTTGTCTGCCCTCTTAAAACAGAAGTATTGTCCCTATTATAGTTTGAGCAATTTCTCAATTTCACATCCACATGGAAGGATTTGTAGAATGTTTGAGGTTGAGTCCCTTTGTTGGTGGGAAATTGCATGCAGGACTTTTTACCTTTTTTATGTTTTAATCTTATATTTTCTACTTCAATAATGCCAGCCAAATATTGCATAATATATTTTTTGGGAATACATATTATTAATATAATTATTTTGCCTATTGAACGTCATTATGAGACCTTTACTTTGTCATTTCATGTTTTAAAATGTAAAATAATTTCTAAAGTTGAAAATATTTTGCGACAGACATGAATAATTTAATAAATGCTGTCCGCCTGTAACTCCCTATGCTACCACCAGAGGGACAAACATATTTCTTTCACTCTTCAAAAAAAACACCCACAAGCACAGCCATGTGATTGTAAAGAAGGTAATTTCACCTGAAACATTGCCAAAACAAATTTACTTTGGTTTTTAAAGAGAGAATACTGCCAGTACAGGAGGCACATGCCAGACCTATTGTACATATTTTTAGTGGTAGGGGAAACCGGAGCACCCGGAGGAAACCTACGCAGACACGGGGAGATCATGCAAACTCCACTCAGAAAGGCCCTGGTCCAACCGGGATTGGAACCCAGGACCTTCTTGCTGAGAGGCGAGAGTGCTATCCACTCAGCCACCGTGCCGCCCAGATGATCTAGTTCATTAAAGTTTCTCTTTATGAACTAAGCACACATGTATTCGGTGTCTTTCTCGGATAATATGCCAATGCAAATATGATGCTTTGGATCAAATTACTGCAAAAAATAAATAAAAAAAATCATTTGTTGCACATAAGACCACTCCTACCAATATTATGAGTGATGTTATATCAAATATGTTTAAAGAGAACATAGAGAACTTGAAGTACACCCATGATATACAGAATATTCTAATGTATCAGTACAGAATGCAATGTGTGTTGACCTAGAATGGCTGTATTTTCTGTGTTTGTCGTTCTTTTCACTATTGTTGTGTTCTTCTCCACTCTGGAGACTGTGACCTTGCAAAAATGGTCTTTCCAAAATGCCTCAAGCAAGTCCTGTAACACTATCTGACATTTAGGTCTGTTTATCTGCTGCCTCCTGTCATAAACTAGCCTCAAATCATTATGTGGCATGTTTATTTCGTCCAGTTATATTTGAAAAGTACGTGCAGTGAGCTGAATGCTACAAAAGAGCTCAGAAAACAATTAATTAATTTCCTCTTAAATGATCACAATAACTTAATGACCTGAAAAATAACCAATATTAATAAACCTAATAATTTTTACATATCTATTTGGTAATTGGTCAGCGACATTTAATTTTATGACATTGGGTTATAAGCAACGTCATACCTGACTGTTTTGACTGTTTATACCTTTGCCTATTTTATTAGCAATTTATTTGATGCTGCATATTGTGAAATTTAGATTTGATTGCATTTTACTTGAAACAGTCTGGGTGAATATGTAGTTTGAGTTTGAATGCCAATAATTGTACACTTAAAATTGCTATACATATCATCAATATTTGTCCAATATCCAACTTAATATCCCCCTCATTTTGATGAATCCCAATTATCAGTTTTACATAACTTAATACAGCGAATTCTAGAACTTGTAAACAGTATTATCGCCTTTGCCAACAGTAACATCTGTTCAGCTTGCAAAATTTAAACTCTAATTCAAACTTCCCACCTTCATATACTGACACATTTATAGGTAAAAAGCTGATCAATGGCAATTTTACAGGTTACTAAAGAAAAAAAACAACATAGAAAAAGTTATTTAATTGACCACCATACTGACAGTTACATGTACTGCTCAGAGAATCCCAGCGTTAACTGATCTATATGACAGAGGTGTCCAAACTTTTTAGTACTAGGGCCACTTTAGTTCACCAGTCGCACCCGGATTGTAAAACTGTTTTGACTGAATTCGGAGCCTTCTAAGCCCTATAATAAGCTATGACAGAGCTGAAGTTGGCTGAATGACAAATCTCACCATCTCACTAGCTATATTGGCGCCATTAACAGAACTTTGTGACACAATAAAAAAAAGACATTTCCTTATCTACAAATAAAGTCAACAGCTTTCAAGAGGTTCTTTGTTTTAAAGCAAGATACCATGGCTATATTGTCTGAGCTGAAGTTGGCTGGATGACACTTGTGAACTTGTTTTTTATGACCTTAACGGCTACTTTGTATCAGAAAGGCAGTGGGCCACATGCATTTACCGGCATAGGCCCATATAGTTTGGACATACCTGCTATATGAGAATCAGCCAGGAGAACATTCACGTAAGTTCACCTTCTTTCTCAAACATGGTAAAGCAATGTTTATGTGAAGCATGTAGCGATGGAGGACTAAACAAGGGGTGTTGGGGGCGGCTGCTTGTGACAGTAACAGTTTATGACAGGCACATTAGGCTGCAGAAAGAGCATCCAGCTCCGGGCTGAGGGCATATGGTGCTGCCTTCTGCCGGCATAGCTCCAGCCCCACTTCCAACACTGGCGCTGGGTCACGGCTGTCTCAGGTTTGTTCCTTCTGTCTCACTCCTCTAAATAAAAAACAGGAGAATGTGGGGGTTGCTTGCTTTGCTTTGCTTGGTTGGTCTGTCGGTCGCTTTGGGGAGTTTAGTGGGCATTTAGTGTTGCACAATGTCTTTTGAGTTTTTGAGGACGAATTTGAAGCTGTGAGCCAGGACACTGTGTTTATAACTTTTTTGACATTTAAAAAAACTACATTTTTTGAGGTAGGCCTGAATGATACAATTGTATCACCCAATATTGATGCACCGATATCTCGATGCGATATATGACTGAGGATTTGGTGAAAATCAAAAAAAAATTCAGGAAATACTAAAACATCATAGTTCAAAAGGCAAGGCAGGTTTTCTTTGTATAGGACAGTTCATGCACAAGGCAAATCAAAGTTCTTTACAAAACAAGAAAACATTGAAATCAGTCATGGATATTGAAATATGAAACACAGAAAATCCTAAATAATGGGTACAATCCTTCAGTTGTACGCACAGCTAAATTTAGCTGTTTTTATCTGCATTTGAACATTGTTAAAGATGCAGTCAGGGATTTTTTCCAGATGCATTCTTTTTAAATATTGTGGAAAAACATCCCTAAACCCTAAAAGTAGTCAAGTAATCATGTATTTGCAAATAGTAATGGAATTGACCAGATGCCTACAGTCTCCAAAAATGTATAAAACAAATTTTGGAGCGGACCAATAAAAATAAACCAATGGGATTGGTTCATCCCCGACGCACCAATGGAATGCGTTTACCCCCTTCACCTTCTTCCTGTTTCTCGCGAGTGCACCTGAGTTATCATATTATTTTCTAAAACCTAAAAGGGCTGAACAGAAAAGGCCAATTTCATGTTTGCCTCCCACTCTCCCTGCTGTGACAAAGAAAATCAAATGCTGGATGTTTGGTTTGGTGGAGAGGCGAGGGGAGGGGGGAGTGGTTTCCAGTCGGTGCTACGGCTAAGCTAACGAGATTGCTAACTGCATCTTTAAGAGTGGAAGCCTGCCTCACACTTTTAAGAAGACAGTACCAGATTTGACTGCATGATAAAAAAATGTTAAAATATGAGCTGTCAATGAATGAAAACGAAACTTCTAGTGTGATGAGGGAAATTAAAAAAGGTTTATTGGGATTAACCTGCTTAATTGTTATTCTGTCAGTGGCTGTAAGTAGTTTCATTAGTATCAATTATTATTGTTCCGCACTGTCAGTATCATGCCTCACATATTGTTATTGTGACAGGCTTATTGATTGGAAAATGTACCGTAGATATTTGAAACATTTTACTTTCTAGTCTGCTTAAACAGTACAGTTCATAAGAGCCTGTGGTCCACATATTTCCCACCTGCTGCTCCTCTACCATCTCTGACAGAGCTCAGAAGATGATGAATTTAATAATGATATATTCACCATTTCTGTTGTACATTGTTGTAGATTAAAAAAAGTACATTTATATAGTACTTCATTCAATTTGGCCACTCACCAAAGAGCACAGGGACTGGCCACTTGCTGGGAGTCTGAGAAGCACATGGCCTGGCCTCCTGCGGGGATTCTTAGGAGCACAGGGACTGGCCTCCTGCTGGTGCCCCCAATGTGATTTATACTAATATGGAATACTTTTCCTGCAAATGTGAGACAGGCTTCAACTCTGACAATGTTCAAATCCAGTTCGGTTAAGCTGTATATCCTAAACGATTGTATTTTTTGTCTTTTTAATGTACTCTTTGATTATGTATGTTTTATCTGTCTATGGGTACTAATGTCTTGTTTTGTAAAGCATTTTGAATTGCCTTGTGTATGACTGTGCTAATTAAACAAACTTGGCTTCCCAATTAGCGATGAAACATGTCTAAATGTGCAAGTTCACCATTTGTAATTGAGATCTTTAACCATGCATCTTTTCCTTGAGTACACATTTCCGTACACTTTCCAACACTGGAGTTTGCTTAAAGGTGAATGGGGAAAGGCATGTGTGTTCTCTTTCTCCCTCATTTAAACTCCAAACAATGGCCGTGTTCTCCCCACAGTGGCTTTTCTCCTCTGTGATGTGGAGAGGATGGACTTGGATAAGGCGGAGGATGACGCAGCGCTGTGGTCAGGAGACAGCGGTGGGAGGGTAATTACAAGCTACCGTGAGACTCCCGACCTCACTGGGGCTGAGGTGAAACGGCCACAGCATATGGACGCAGCGAAAACAATGGTTTATTTTTATGTTGTTTGATGAGTGGTTTTTAATTTAGTTTGTCACTTCTGGTGAGCAGCAGGGCAGATGGTGCAGATTGGAGTGCCCATCAGAGCCTAAATACCTTCGGGCAGCTGTTGGTCGTAAACTTTTTTTTCTTTTCCTGTGCATATTTTTCCTCCGCTTGTTCGCTCTTAAACGCCGTGGAGGTCAAGAGGAGTCAAACCTGTTACAACACCTGTTTCTGTATATGCAAATCTGTTGTTTTGTCATTTCATTAGGCAAGGCAAAAAGACAAGGGTCCCTTGTGGTTGCAAATGCGACTGGCACCGCGCCCACTTGGCATGCTCCCCAGCAGTGAGGCTGGAGGCGGGTGAGGGAGGGATGGCAAGTCGGGCTACTGTCGGAACTCAGCCACTGGTATCAGATGCCTTCACACGCTCTGTTGTCTTTTATTGGTGTTGGTGGGGTCCCAGCAAGAACTTATCAGGTTATAAATTATCAAGAAATGATTCGATTGTGATATTTCTACACGATAACAAGATAACTTTGTTTTCCCTGGTGTCGCCAATGTCAGTTCTTTGAAGGTTTTTATTTGATTAAGTTTGAGCTTTTAAAATGTTTAACCTGTACATGCATTGTTACCTGAAACAGTCAAATTGACAGAGGTAGAAAGGGGAGGGCGAAAAGGTAAAACTTATTTACGTGCTCCAATTCATTTGCATAAAAGGGGCATCTAAAAAACTGCACTGCTATTTCCTCATGCAGTACAGGGGCCGCATCCCAAACATTTCAAAATTGGTTCAGGAATTAATTATATTTTAGTGAAACAATCTGACTATATCGTAGCAACAGCATGACAGAAATCCACTGTTTATATATGTGCCACATTAAGCCTTAATTATCTTTTAACTATTCATTTTGATTTGACTTAAAACAAGGGCATATTATGATTAGTCTCAAGATGAAGAAAATTACTTTGAAAGTACATAATAACATGGCAACATTCATCATTCAATTTATTTAGTTCATTTTGGTCACACAATCATATGATACAACAGGAACAATAATATAGTAGTAACATGTTAAGAACTAACCTCTACTAACATTTGTATCACATTAATTTCCAGCCCTTAACGACAAAGACCTGCCCAAGTATGTTCCACTGGCCCGTGCGTCTATGGCACATGTATGGCACACGTCTCTCTGAACCCCCTCTACCACACACACACACACAAGCGCCCACCCCTACCTCACCCCTTCATCATCTGGCGCACTCCCGCAGCGCCCGCCTCTTAACCACATGTGCCAGCACCCGGGCCTGCGCTTGCTCCGGGGCTAATTGTTCACAAGTAAACTGCATGCTCGTTGGGTGGGGGTGAGCGGCATCCCCTTCAAACCAGACACGCCGGTATAGCGCTGATCACAGTGGGAAGCATGTGTGGTGTAGGGGGGGAAGCTTTACAGATCACGATGTGTTCACACAGTTTATTTTCCTTGGTACAAGTCTCAGAGATTGTCAGTTGTAATCCGGCCCGCGCTCCCAATGTAACAAATACACCATGAAATTAAAGGTTATTGCAGCTGCGGCATGATGCAAAAAAGGGCTCTGTTCGAGATTACTGTTTGCAGACCTAAATGGAATGAAAAGACCACCTATCAGCTTGGAAAAAAAAAAAGCTATGCACTGCCTTTTGCAAAACGGCGTGCAAATTCATGTCCCGGGCTATTAATAGTCGTGCAAGTTTACACAAGTTTGTACACTACGCTTGTTCAGACCCAAACCTGTAGCTGAGCCTTGTCTAATGTCTAATCCATTGTAACATTAAACTTCTAATCTAGTCCTTTTGTAGTCTTTTTAAAGTGGCTTCACGTGTCAACACTTTAGGGATGGATGGATGAGAGACGTAAGGCTAGTCCATGCTGCCAAGCTAATCTAATCTGATAACGGGAGCCTTCCACCTCCTTTCCCCTGTTCCCTTTCTCCACTCGCGCTGTCTTCCTCCTCCTCTTTCCTCGGCTTTGGCTCGGCTCAGTCTGATATAGTTTGGCTTTCTCTCCTCTCACAGTGCAGACGGCATTAAAGCCAGGCCCCCACACAAGCCCCCTCTGATACGGGAGAGTTCATTAGAGATGTGCCTTTGATGGGCAGCCTTTTCATGTGACTACCGGTTTTTCAAATACCTTGATGTCGAAGCTTAAGAAGGCATTGTGCAGTAAGCCCTCCTTTTGATGCGACTTATTTAGATCTGCATAGTAAATCAGGGGGGAGTAAATAACCAGCCAGCAGATGGAAGCAAGGAGATAAGGCGCCAGTGAACAATCGCATTTGTATTTTGTTATGATGTTGACAGCGGCTAAAATTCACTAATCTAGAAGCACTGATCTGCATTTCAAAGAAATCTCATTTAGCAGCGGGGAGGATAAAGTTCCTCTCATTGTGTCTATTTTATTGCATTCTTCGTTAATTTATCAGGCCTCAGATTTAACGCGCGGGGCCTGGCGGTACGAGCGGGCGTCCACACGTTGCATAGGGGTCTTAAATACTCTGAAAGCGGCTACGTCTAGACTTTGAGTGCAAGGGTAATTACACGTCTGACCATGAATAGAATGAGTTTGAAGACTCATCTTTCTTTGGGCGGCCGGAATTGCGCGACGAAGGCTGATAAGGAGCATTTGGTCCCGCAGAAATATTGCGAGTGACTTTCCATAATGCCATAATGCCGCCCACCCTCCCTTATTCTCCCAATGCCAAGGATGGTATTTACTTTAAAGATAAAGTTATTGTGTACAGTAATCTGACTTGTTAGCATAATGTCTTCTTTCATGGCTGGACCCTCCTTTCTCTGCCGTGTGGAGGTATTTGTGGCCCGCATGTCTTAAATAGTTTATCTTGACTTAGCGTGCTAGTGCTCTATGTAAATATCAGCCTATAGTATTATTAGGCCTTCATGAATTCTTGAATATGTTTGCCATATTTATAAGTCCATAGAATGTACCATTGGTTTTATATTTGGCGAACAGATATGGGTGGTATTTGTAAATCCACGGAATTCGAGGTCATGCAGACTAATAGCCTTGCTAAGCTTTCTCAGTGAATAAAATATGGCATCTGCACAGCCCAAAGGTGTTGTGATGGCAAAGTCATTTTTCAGCAAAGAATTGTTAGTCAATTTATGCAGTTTTCAAATCGAAATACTTTCACTTCATCGCTGCTTTGGTGGACATCTCTGTCATGCTATGTCTTTATCAAACCAAATCTGCTCTCCAATGCTTTTCAAACACTTATGTCCCTATACACCCACACCCACTGCCTCTTCTTTCATCTTGTTCTAAGCAAATGTGGCGTCGCAATCTGTGCAACATTTTCCACAAACTCACAACAGTGAAAAATGATAGTTGGCATGTTTTGTTTTTTAGCTATGTGCACTTTGAGCGGGGGGGCTTTTTGTACAGTTCAGAGAGCGCATTCCTCAGGATTCGCTGGGTGCTTGTAAGGGGTCACTGGAATCCTGGAAGAATAAAAGAAAGTGAAAAAAATAGCAGGAAACACCATCCAGGCCAGTTAGTGCCCTCCGTGCCCTCTTAACACAAACCTGCCACACTAATTATTTCCTAATGTCCCCAATGGAAATTGTGGAGTAAAATGTTCATGGCAATCTGTAGCTGTGCTTATTTTACACAGGTTAACTCTTGAAAATCATCAATACTAATGGCCTGTAAATTATATAGATGCCACTGCATGTGTACTTTGATGCAGGCGGGGGAATAGGCGTACATGAGAAATCAATGGTGTCAGGTTTAACACTGTGATTTACGTGGAGTTGAGAGCTCTAGCCTTCCAGGAATTGCACCTTTTAACTTGAGAGGATGTGTGTGTGTGTGTCTGTGTGTGTGTGTGTGTGTGCATTATGAAGACACACTCAAACTTTTTCACTGCAAAATCCAGGTGCACGTTGTTGTTCTAAACTTTATTACTTTCACTCATAATTTCACACAGGGGGAAAAACTGTTATGCAAGACAGATGTTGCTAGCCTGCACTTGTCTGCGTGAGCGCAAAATAATCTTTTGGAGTTTAGAAAAACGTGCAAACTCATTGTGCTTTGTTTGTTTTTGCAGGAACAACACTGACAGAGAGGCTTCCACTCAGCGTTGGACATTGATATCTCCTTTTCTTGCCCGGGGTAAGTGTTCCTTCACAACCATTTGGCAAGAACAAACACTTAAACTAGTGTTCAAACTGGATTATCATTTTTTAGGTATTTTCTGAAACAAATAAAAAATACTTGAATGAATTCATCAATGTTTATGAATTTATATAAGCCTGCTTGAGCTTTACCTATTCCGTCTCCAACCCTTGTCTTCCCATATTTTGTTTGGTTTTAAGTGGTCTTTAGTTTTAGTGTTATTACCCGATGTTTTTTTTTGTTCGAGACAAGAGTGACCAAAGTGTAAGCAAAATTATTCACATTTTCATTATTTCTAAATCTTCAAATGTTGCCTATCAAACTTATTCAGCCCCTTAACACTTTGTGGAACCCCTTTTACTAAAATAACAGCTTCAAGTCATTTGGTGGTATACACTATAAGAGGTGCACATCTGGAGGCTGATTTATTTTTCCCAATTCTTCTTTGCATGACAGCTCAAGCTCCATCACATTCGATGGAGAGCGTTACCCTGCCACAGTTTCTGGATCAGATTGGCCAGTCAAAGTACAGACCTTTCCAACACATGCATAGATTTTGTTTTGAACTAGTCCATTGTATGAAAAGTCTTTGTGTCAAAGGATATTGTCCTAGTAGTAGGTAAACATCCACCCCAGCTTTAAGTCTTAAGCAGCAACTCCAAAATGTGGAAAAGTTTTGGGGAATTACTTAGTTGCCCCTTTTAATGAGTATTTTTTCAATCCACTTAAAAAAACATTTGGCGTGACATTTGGATTACAAAAATAAAATAAAAATGCAAAATGCTTGAAATGTATGTTCAAGAATCAAAATTGATCTATTTGGGCGGTGCGGTGGCTGAGTGGATAGCACTCTCGCTTCTCAGCAAGAAGGTCCTGGATTCGAATCCCAGTCGGAACAGAGCCTTTCTGAGTGGAGTTTGCATGTCCTGTCCTGGCGAGAGAGATTTGTGAGAGACAAATGCCCAAAAAATAACAATTATAAATGGCTTTGAGACTCTGGTCTGAGAAAGGCGGTATAAAAATAAAGATTACTTACTTACTAATTAAAACAACTCAAAACAAATCCCTATATTTTTAAGTAATATTTCATATATTTAGTATTGTATTCAGTTGTCCTTAGCGGAATTGCATGCCCTTTCAATCAAAACCAAATTTGAATCATGACTACCGTAAATGCTCAATATCAAAGCGATAAAAACGTGTAATAAAGAGGTTTTATTTGTGTTCTTCCGCTTTGCCAAGGCTAGAGGTGTTATAATATTGTTAGCTCAAGTGCGTGGCTGATACAGTGGCTCGCGGAGGTCAGGAGAGCGCCATTTTGTTCAAATGTAACAAATCTTCATCTTGTCCACCTTGATAGAATTCCCCCTCCACTGGGCAACCGTCTCAGTGGCGCCTGTTTGGTCTTCACACACCAGGGATTTTCAATCTACTCCAGCTTAAAAGTTATGATATATATTATTGCTGACAAATCTCTGCAGAGGCTATAGATTCTGCGATTTATTCCGTTGTTTCTTAATTAACTGCTGTAGCCGAGCATAACTTTCTGTGGCGTGATTTGCATATGTCTCGGCTGGATGTGTCATGTTTTTTTGGTTGTGTTTAGGGTGAAATATGCCCTCTCCGCGCCCGTGAGGACAAGCACGAGAGACGCGCTGTAAAGAAGACGACAAGACGTAAGTAATTGGTGTCTCCCAGCATGCTTTGTGTTGTGATTAGTGTAGTTTTAGTAGTTTGGACACAAGAGGCTCCATTTATGATTCCTCTACACCAATTACCCTAACTGACTTTGAGATGGGGTACCTCACTTGGTATGTTAATGTGGTTTTTAATAGTAAAACTAAATGAATAAAAAAAGCTGTCTCTTCAGCTCAACTATATCACTAGATAACACTTAAAGCTGAGAGCTGATTGGCTGATGGTAGGTAAAAGAAAAATAATTGGGGGAATACATGGGAACTTGTTATAGCGAGGAAGATCAGACAATTTTAAATATGATGTTTCACTTATTGTTGAAAAAAACTGCATACACCAGCTTCAACTGGACCCACATCAGGGCAATATGGTGGTTTTGATGTTGATATGAAACTTGTATGGGTTATTGGACAATTTGGCCAAAACAATATTCACAAGTTTGCAATTTACATCACGAAATCATAAGTTTACATAAACCTTGTACAAAAACACTTACTGCACTTTTCCTCAGTCTGTAGTGAAACAATAAATACATAATGTTATTTTTACAACTCAATGCCACCATATCGAGAGAGAGATTTTTTCAGTTTTTTTCCTTTACTTTCTGAAAAGTCAGAAGTTAATACACATTTCATTAGTATAGAAAGAATCTTTGTAAAATCTTCCGAGACGACTGCAGTTGTGATTTAGGGCTATGAAATAAAATTGATTTGAGTTGAGTCAAACTTTCTGGATATCCTTACACAAGTTTCTCCAGTTCTGGCCCATTCCTCTGGACATAACTGGTGTAAATGAGTGATCTTTGTTTACCACAAGCCTTCTGAGATCTGTAAACTTCTGGTTTCCACTGTATCACAAATTTTAGGACACACTAGTGAACCTTTTCCTTTTTTCATCTACCCACACCTTAATGTGTTATGTCCAATACATAAACATACATTCTAAGGCTTGCAATTATTCATATTTGATCAGTCAAATATAAAATCACGCCGTTTGGATTTTTAAATACTTTTTGAAAATTATACAAATCTGCTGACTAATCTTATTTTTATCATACACATATCTTCGGTATAATTTTTATGTAGAAATAGCAACTGAGCCTCTTGATTGCCTTCATATCGATATTGTGGCTTTCATCAATCTGTTGTCTAACTTTTATACAATAAATATGATATAATCTTCTCTGCAAAGTTAAGTATCTCGTTCTGCTACTTTAGTTGGGGAAATTAAAAAAATCCAAATCACCTTCATAGTACCTCTTCATTTGCCTGGTAGGGCGTTAAACTTCAAAGACGCACTCCCAATGCTTATCTGTTGGCCTAAAAAGAAATCTCTCTAATCATGGCAGGGGAGCGTAATTGCCCCAACACGGCATGCTTCCTCCCACTTCCCTCTCGTGGACATATATATATCAAAACCTACAGCAATTAAGAACATCCCTAGTTCTTTGAAAGAGCTTGGACTGAACAGCTCTCCGCTAACAGTATTTCTACCGCGCAATTGATTTCTTGTCATAGATCACAGACCACTTGTCATTCCCCTTTTTTCCAATCCCCCAATGGCTAAGTGTCGTGGGCAGAGAACCTCCATGGGTCTTTTGCTCGGGCACTTGGATCAGCGCAGAGAGCTATAGCCAGAAATCAAATGGGATCAGTCTTCCTCATTGGCGGGACTCCATTGTGCGTCCCGTTGGAGATTGGTGCAGGGCAGTCAGCACCGCAGAGATAGGGTGGCTGGTAAGGATTGAGATCAGGAAAAGCATCCCCCTCTTTTTTTTTTTTTTTTTTGCTGCCTTAATCTTTATCCACCATTAACCCCAGTGCCCCAGTGTGTGGCGAAGATCAGGCCCATTGGTCAATCCTCTATTCACTGCCACCCAGAATATTTTAAAGTTAAGCCCTCTCTTGCTTAACAAAAAAAAGTCTTACTCATCAAAGGCTCACTTTCCCTGGCTTCCTTCCTTCACGCGCTCCGGTCCCATTCCAAGATGGACCGTTCGACTGTTTGGTCTTCGCACGTGCGGAGAGAAAGCGAGAGAAGTGTTGAAACAGTGGGGAAGTGTTTTAAAAGTTTTGAGAGTTTTCAAATTTGAATGTAATACCCCTTGGTTTTGGGGTTTGATAGTATCGTGCTGAGAGCAAATTGGGCCAGTTGTAAAAGGAACAATGATGTCCTGCTTTGGTGGAGGATTATAGGAGCTCTGCACTTGTTTTTAATAGACTCTGGAATGTGGCAGTTTTTTCACGATATTTTTCACACCTCCAATGTGTACTCCTCATGTTTCACCCAAGCGTTTTATTTATGAGGAGGTAAAAATAGAACCAGCTGGAAATACGGCCGGAACATTTGAACGCTGACACTAATTCATTGTTGAGATATTATTGTGGAATTTACGGTATATCTTCAGCTGTTTCTCTGGAATGGTCTCCACTTTGGTTTTGTCTCCAAACTACTTTCTGATTTAAAATTGGAGAATTTTTTCAAAGTGCGTACATTTAGGATGAAGAGATCCTTTACTTGTCCCACAGTGGGGAAATTTTCTTGGAAAGATCCATCTTAAAAATTCACCTTTTCCAGCCACAACAGGTCATTATGTTTTCTTGGACCAGCTCTAAGCCCAGTCAAATGGCTCTGCTTCACCACGTCCAACCAGTAACCTCCATTAATGGCATGTATTGCAACTGTTTCATTAGAATTCACTTAAGAAATGGCTCCTATTAGTCTCCTTTCAACTGTTGCTGCTTTTTTTATTTAGAAAATCTAGTTGAACTTGAACTTTTGCCAATTTTTCTTTGGATTTCCTTTTGAAAGGCCACAACAAAGTAACAGACTGTGAAGTGGAAGAAAAAATCTTTACATAAACATGACAAAACATGCAAAAGGTTGGCACTTTTTCAAGACACAGTATGGTATGAATGTTACTTATTTTATCACTTCTGACCACAGTAGGGCTTTAAGCAATATAGTGAATGTGTTTCCCTATTACTGAAAAATACATTACAAACATTCTCACCATGAGTTGGGACGTCATTCCAAATATCCTACCCGTAACTTTTTCTGCTGATAAACATATGAAATGTCGCTTCTACGACAGCGGTTTCCAACCTTTTTTTGCCCTCTCTACTTGTCGGCAGTTTGGTTAGGGAACAAAAATCCCCGGCCATATTTATTCCGTATTAGATGGGATCAATCCAAATACATTTTCTTATTGGTTAGTGGAAAGGGTTAGGGTCAAATGTGTTGAATTTGTTTTGCTTTTTTCCCCCATAGAAAACATCAGCCTCAATGTTATTTTATTAGTGGAAAGTTTTTTTATAGCTCATGGGTTACATCTGTGGTCATTTAACGTGTCCAAATAATTACTTCCATTTAACATGACAAATTCCTGAACACAATTATTTCAGTGAGGTTTGGACTGAACAGAACTGGAATAATTGTAAAGATTTGTTTGGGTGGCACAGTGGTGCAGAGGTCAGAGCTTGTGTCTTTTCATCTAACTTTCACTAACTGGTTCTTAGGTTCAGTGTTTGAAAAAAAAACTAAACTATTTGGTTGTTTTAATTTGTACCCCCTGTATTACCGTGTGCCCCCGGTTGGAAAATTCTAAGTGGTTCTAAGATTGAAGCAAAAATCACACTAATGGGGCTGGCTTATCTCCTTCTAGAAAATATCCACAGGTTTTAATCTATTTTGTTACAGTTGTGATAAAAGGAACTAACGAGTAAATGTTTGCTAACGTCATTTTTAAAAGAACATTGTGATCCTGCATTTATCTTTATGGTTTTGTGTGTGTCTTCTCTTCCTCTGTTTGAAGTTGTAGTATGTGTTGGAAAAAAAAACCAAAACAGGTTCTGATTGTGTGCATAGAGCCGGGTGAAGGTGTTGTGATTCAGGAATGGAAAAAAAAGGTTACGGCCTCTGCATACTTTGGGGCCCCTTCAACAGTTCTGTACTACACAAATCTGAGATGACTTGGTATGGAAATAAGAAATTGCAAACACAACAGGAAATTTGATGATTTCTGGAAATAGCTAGACGTGAGCTGTGTTGTCGAATGGTTTAAAGCTCATGTACCTAACTTATCCATGTTCCCAATAGAAAGAGTCTTGTAAAAGTTATGAACAAATCAACCCACAAAATGCTGTCTTCTGCAGAAAATATGTTATCTTCTGCATAACTGTAATCAAATGCCCTGTGAGTCACTAGTTGACACTTTAGGCTGAGAGCTGATTGGCTGACTGAGGGTGGTCCTCTCTTTGTCACTTTTCTGTCTTACAAAGCTGATCTAAAAACATGACCGAAGCCAAAAATACATGAAATTGATAAAACAGTCATAGAACCAAACTGTTTTGAGTGTGATGAGCTACTTCATTGGATTTTTATAACTAATTCAATGACATAGCATTATCTTACGCTTAGAATAACAAGGTCCTATGTGAAATTTTTAGTTAAAAAAGTGATTTGTATATTCTTAGCCCCTGGATATCTCTTGCATTCTAACCGTCTACTGCTCATATAGCTTGAGGTTGAATTGAGATAAATAGAGGATTAATTGCGTTGTCGCTGGACTCTATGGCACCCCTCCAAGTAGCTGAGATTATTGTGAAAGCCAAGCCTCAGCAGGCATGACACCGGAGCGCCCTGACATCGGTTTGAACCCCGGTTTTCAGGTGGGAAGAATTACGAATGGCTCCTACGCGCAGGTGATCATGTCCAATGAATCGGTCGCACACAGCCCAGCATTCTTCACCCAAGGTCTAAATGCTGATTGTCTTGACAGATTGAACTTGTGTGTTATCACCAAACTGTCACGCAGGCTAATTTCTCCGGGGCCAGTTTACGTTAGCCCTTCACAGTGCTGTATTTTATTGAAATATTGTCATCGGAACAGAAAGCCGAGTTATTTTGACCTGTGC